CTACACTTAGTGTGCAGCTTTTCTGATTTTGGTCTGTAATCCACAAAAACTCAACTGGGAGACTTGAAATTCATACTGCAGAGGCACAATGTAGTAATTATAGAATGAGGAATGTATAGTAGCAAAAAAAAAAAAAAAAAAAAAAACATACTGTTCAGAACAAATAGAAAAAGACCGTATTGAGAAAGTAGTGTTGGTGCAAAAACAACCAATGAGCCTTAGTAATGGATGCAGTCTCTCTCAGCTGCAGTGGTTGTGTTGCGCTGTCTATAGATACTCAACAACTGTATAACAGTTTTTGGAATAATAGTTCCCAATCATCAAGGACCGTCTGTTTCAGTTGTTTGTTCTCTTGAAAGTAAGATCATGCTGCATTGCATCTCTCTAAAGTATCTCGCACCTGTTCTACGGGATTTAGATCGGAAGCATACTGGCCAATTGTTTCTGTGGATATCTTCACTTTCCAGGAGCTCCTCAACAGCATGACTTCTATGTGGCCATGCATTGTCATCCATAAAACAAAGTCAGGATCAATGCACCATGGAAAAGATGAGTGGGAGGGGAATAACTTCATCACAGTAATGATCACTGGTAAGTTAAGCTCTGTCAAAAATGTGGAACTTCATCTATTCATCATAATGCGTCCCCATACAAGCACGCTAGGACCACTCCAGCTGTCTCTTTCCATAATGTTATTGGGATGAAAAAATGTCCCTTTCTCTCTCTGTATCACTTGGTGATGACAGTTGAAATGACAGACTGAAATGACTCTCAACATTAAAGAGGATGCGACTCCATTGATGAGATATTCAGTCTGTATGCTGTCTATACCTTTGTAAATGGTTTCAATGATGGTCTGCTGTCAGTATGAAGCATTCAGAAATAATGGCAAATAGTCACGTGTATGAAGTTTTCTGGCCACAGTAAATTGGGAGACTTGTCATCCAGTTGCACATGGCAACCAGATGACAATTATCGAACAATTGCTGCCTACTGTCTTGTTTTGATCTCTTTTTGCTTACAGGGTGATATATCGAATCATCAGTAGCCATTTTTTTCCTTGGCCGACCACCACCAAGCTTTCTTGCAGCAGTACCTGTCATTTGGAGAGCTTTCCAAGCTCATGAAACAACACTTTTATCATTTTCAAACTCTTGGGCAACAGATGTCAAACTATGCCCCTCCTCAAGCTTGCCAATCATTCTAATGCATGTAAAGGTATCCTGATGTTTTCTTGTAGACATACTGCATGTCAATCTCACTTTCACTTACAGAAGAATGCTTAGAAAAGCACCTTTTTTCCTTCTTTTAAAGATGCCTTAGACTCTGCATGCTGACTACTTGTGTTTTATATGCCGTGACGTACCCTGTGTTGTCATGGTGCTGACATTTGCATATGCATCACCTTTCTACGGAATTGATTTTTAATTAGATTGATTGCAAAAACTAATTTTCTACAACTTCGTGGTTGTGTGTTGAAAAATGAATTTGTTGGTTATGTTTTGCACACTAGTGTGTTTTTAACAATTAGATGTGTATAAAATTAATTGAATTATTATTTTTTTTTTATTTTAAATAAGAAAAGCTGGATTCTACATTATGTGATGGCTTATTTTTTGCAATTTTTAACTACATAGTGCTGATGTTTTAAAATTGGCTTTTAACTATGTTTTTGTTAACTTGTTTAGGTGTGTTTTTGTTAACTAAAATTTTGGTTTATTTAATTTTAGTTAAATAATATCATTAACTAAATATTTTTTTCAATAATTAAAGTTGTTAATTCTTACCACTTGCATTTGAAAATCACTACTTAAATGGAAAATAAAGAAGATATACCAGTTCATGTTAAGTAGAACTCAAATCTTCCTTTGTCAGTGATTCTTTAGCATGTCATCTTATAATATTAAAATCAGTAGCATGTCATCTTATAATATTAAAATCAGTATGTTTGATCAGAATCATTTTAATTCGAGAGGTATTGAACTTCTGTTTTATAGAAATTAATGCCAATGAATTGTTTGAATTTTGCAATGTAGTAAAATTTTTATTCAAGTTCTGTATTCCAAAAGACTCTCCATCACAAAACATATATGCAGCCAGAAGGAAACGAAGTAGTTAACATGTATATAGTATATGAGGAGATAAACAAGTGATTACAAATTCAAAACAAAACTCATTTATTAATAAGTTATGGCATGAAAAAGGTTACAAATCAGTAAGTAGTATAGCCACCTCTGGCAGCTATACAAGCCAAAACATGGCGTCGCAACGAAACCAAGTACGTCACCTATGAACCTCTGCAGAAGATCATGCCATAATCTTTACAAATGTGCAGTTAATTCGCTAATATTACAGGATTCCATGCATGTCCTAAACATGCTCTGCTGGTGAGAGGTCTGGTGACCTGACAGGCCACAGGAGTATGTCATATTGTTGAAGACGTTGTTGGGAGAATCACACAATATGTAGATGAGCATTCTCTTGCTGATAAATGGCACCTGGACAACTTGATAGTATAACACAGTACAACCAGCATCAAAATATCCTCCACGTAACTGCAAGTGGTAACAATATTCTGAAGGATGACTAGAGGTGATGGTGTGTCCCAACAAATCACTTGTCACACCGTTTGTAATAACCATATATCTCTCGACAACAAATGTTGGATTGAATGGTGTCTGCATTGGTCATGAGTGTTGGAATTGAATCAGGATTCATTGCTGAAGATATCGCATGCCACCAATCGGTCACACTCCACCTTGTCCGAGTTCGGCAAAAATCCAGTCAATGCTGCCTTTGATGTGTGTTCAGTGGTAGGCATCTTAATGGATGTTGGCAGCATATACCAGCATCGGCCACTCATCTCCAAATGGTTTCTCTTGATGCTACCAGATGCCTGGAAGGTGGTAAATGGTGTCAAATCGATGCTAGCAACGTTGTTGGTGGGGAAGTGGCTGCTTTTATGATTGTGCAATCCTATGCTCATTTGTATTCCTGCAATGCCCTGCCAACTCAGCAATGGTAGACTATCCCTTCTGTGATCCATGGTCACCAACACCGAGCAACTACAATTTCACTCTGACCGAGGTGGCAGTCGATATGCCTGTTCATCGAACTTTCTTCTCCGAGGTCTACTGTATGCTCCTTCTTAATGTCGAACAACTGTTTGTACTGCTGCCTGTTATGTCTGAAAGACATCTATAGTCTACTGTCCATTCAAGTCAACAGATTCATTTGAATAGTTTCATGCTTTTAAAATCTCCTAGGTGTATGTCTCTTATGCCCATAGCATGCTTACACTCATCTTATTGGTGTCAAAATTTAAAACATTTGCATATCTCTTATCAGGTTACATTCCTGTCGAATTTTGCGATTGTGACTCGATTTCTTCTGGGTGCATATACAGAGGGTGTTCACACATTTTTTGTAATGATTTGCAAGGATTTATAGATAAACAATTAATTATTTTCTAATATGTTAAATCTGATAGCCTTTTTGTTGAACTATCATATTACAGGTTAATTTCCAAGATAAAAGTCCCTTTCTTAAAATATCAAGGTTGATTTTATTCCACTCCTCTTTCATAATCTTCCAGAATCCATCCAATGTTTGGGGATGCCACTTACAAAGAGTTTGTTTTAAAAGTCCAAATACACAGTAATCCATAGGACACACATCAGGGGACTTGGGTGGTATGCATTTAAATTAAATAGTTTCATTTTTCATTTTTTCAAAAATAGAGCAATAGATTTAGAGTGGAACATGGTAAGCAATAACTATAAAACCTTTAGAAAAACTTTGTTTTCTCTGAACCAACATATTGTGTCTTTTTCTCCTGTTTTTCAGTTGTATATTAATCATTTCCTATTACAATCAGATAAGTATATCGAAACCTCGTAAGCTGTAACTATATATTTCCATTTTTCACCTGCCAAATAATTTTCATACAGCAATCTGCTCATAGTCTTACTTTAAACTGTTTCGGTTAGCGATAACTCCTTTTTTTTTTTTTTTTTTTTTTTTTTTTTTGGATAGCTTAGTTTCTAGTTCCTACGATTTTAAGATTAATAAGTCCGAGGTCGTCAGGACTTCGGCGATTGGATATAGATCATCATTTAAATTAGTAAGATGGCATGTAGAAATTATACAATTAAAAATATGAAATCACGATTTATGAAATAAAGAGAAATTATGATCTAAAGGGTATCAAAATTTTAAAAAAAAAAAAGCTTAATATTTATTTGTTTTTATTTTATTAAACATTTCTTTCAATGTAAGTTGTTTAAGTTGCTTTGTTTTTTTGTGCTAATACTTTCTCTTTAATTCTATAAACAGGCATAATTTCTTGTTCAGTTACAAAGTTCCATTGTTCAAATCCTGTAATTGCTGTGTCGAGAATACCAGACTAACTTGTCAATCGAAATTTTTTCATTTTCAGTAACGCTCTGTCACTTTCTTCATTCATACCCATGCGTGAGTTGGGCTTGAGTCATTAAGTCATCGATAATGGATTCGATTTGGCTCGTCTGTACTCTTGGGCGACTTTTTTTAAAACTGAGGTGCGATTTAGATAATCCTGTTTACCTTGTTTGGTATCCATTTTTTGCCTTTTTCCCAGTCAGATGTAAACTTTGACTTTTCTTTCCTTTCATATTAATTATGTCTAAGAGTATATCTCTTTGGACAGCGCAAAAGTATAGCGTTCGATCCATTGTTTATTTTTCTACAACATTTTAAAAAAAAGAATATTTTTAATGCTACAGAAGATAATTATTCGAATTTGATGCCAGTAACGTTTTTATTTTAAAATTAATATTTAAATTAATGGAGAAAATCGAAATCGTTACAAAAGTGTGTGAACATCGTCTGTATTTTTTTGCGACAGAATGTATAATCAAATTCTTGCAGTGGTATTTTCTGTCATAAACCTGTAGGTGTAGTGCTTGAAATATACTTCTTGGTGGGAAGTAATTTGATATTTATGTTTTCTATTTTTACAGGATAAAATATCTCTTCAAACCTGCTCCTAGTGAACAAAATCCTGACCACACGTTCTACAGGCGTTTATTTCCTAAAATAATTCAAGACATTGAAGTGAGTGGAATCTCTTAATTTATTCACTTTATATTTATGAAGGTTGATTAAGACATGAATTAATGAGGCACAGTAAACCATCAGAAATTTTACCCAGTTATTTTTGATACAGATTTATATGTTGCTGTCTGTTAATTTTGATTGATAAACGAAACTTTGGATTCTGTGGATCTTTTGAATATAATTGTTTTGAACATATTCCATGTAATGAAGAGAAAAACTTAGCCTTTCAAATGAGTGTTCTGTCTTGTGATATGTCTTGTGTTCTGTCTTGTGAAATACTGTTGACTGTTCCGTTAATGTTGTAAACTTTCATTGCTTTGTTACTATAGAATTTTGAAACTACTTTATTGGTAAAGAAGGCATGATACTCAAACTGCTACTTTTAAATGTTGTTGGGCAGCTGGCATTCAAAGAATTATACATACAATTTTAACAAAGTTGTACCTTAGTTCAATAAAGTAGAATGTTACATTGTTGCATAGTTAATTCTTAGATTGCATTGTACTCATCTAAATCAGTTTTATGGATTATCAGAGCTGTGTTTGACTTTATGCTCAGTGTTTTCATTTAACTTGATGACTTTATAGTCAACTGATATGCTTTTGCAGTTAACTGACGCACTTATGCTTTTGTGGTTAACTCTTTCAGGGCCTCTAAACTAGTTATTTAGTCAAATGCATAACATTCTTTTCTTCATATCTCTACAAACAGCATTTAACATCAATAATTTTTGGGGTGGTGTATGAGATGTGTGGATATTCTAGTCCCAATATTTCTGTGTTAGGCAAAGTATAATGTTTGTAAATACTGAGACTGGTCATGTAGAGCTCAACACAGCAGGTGAGAGCAGTTGCTCTTCACAAAGCTCTGAGAGCCTCTCATATATCTTCAGTTCAAGCCGGAACTTCTAACAGTTCACATCTACTGTGTTATTACATTTTTGTGACTTGAAATTCTTTTATATGTTGCCAAAATGAGTCATCTAATGATTGAGTTATGATGTGCCATCAAGTTTTGTTTCAAACTAGGACATAATGCAAATGTAAGTTTTGCAAAATATGCAGCAGGCATATGGAAATTTTTGTTCAAAGAACAGGTTTTTCAGGTGGTTTAAAGCTTTTTCAAGAGGCGAAGATATTATTCTAAGGATTCTTGCTCCAGATGGCCATTAACAAAAAGATCTCATGAAACTGGTTTTAAGGATCTTGCAGTCAATCCATCAGTTGACTATGAGATTAATTGTAGATTGAAAAGATTGGTGATTTACTTGAGGCTGGCTCTCGAGAGATACTCTTGTGTGCTTCATCATCGCAATGTTCCTGTCAGATGGTTTTCTCTATAATAGCTTTAAAAAAAAAATCCCATTTGTCTGTCAAGCTCAGTATTCACCTAACCTTAATACTGATGACTTTTTCCTGTTCCCAAAACTGAAAACTCTTTTGAAAGAGCACTATTTTGTATACCATGACTGACTAGCTGAAGGACATTCCTGTACTTGGAGTTCCAGCATAGCTGGGGGGGGGGACAGGGTTCGTACGGTCCTTAAGAGTCCTTAAATGTCCTTAAATTTTTTGAAATCGATTTTTGGTCCTTAAAAGTCCTTAATTTTGGCCAAAATCAGTAGAAAGTCCTAAATTTTAATCATCTGAAATTTCTCTCTGTTTATACGATTGCCATTTTGAGTGTGAATTAGCATTTTGGAGGAATATTTTTGGCAATTCACTGAGGTATACGGTTATCTTTTGAATTGGTTCATGGGTTATAATTTGGTTCTTTTTCTAATATAAATGATGGGATACTCAAGTTTCTAAGCAAGAGTGAAACATAAGCATTCGAAATTCATTTTTCTAAAAAGAAAATAATAATAATTTTTTCTAATTCTTAAACAACTTTTTGCTTTTGGGGTTGTATTCTTTTATTAAATGGTTCTAAATTTGACACTTGTCAACATTTTGGCGATTTTAAGATCAGTTCTATAGAAAATTTTTAATTCTGAGTCTAGAATTTTTCGGCGATTTTTTTAAACACATAACATGATAAATTCATTAAAATAATGGTAACATATTAGAATATATTAAGAACATAAACATTAAAATAAACATTTTTATATTTCACTGTCTATTATAAGTTTTCATTTTGGCAAGTTATTATACATATTTAATCTGAAAAATAAACAAGGTATAATAGCTATAAAGCAAATTTACGAAACATCTCTTAGTAAAGCAAAATTTGCTATGTAATTAATTAAAATGTCTTTTTAATTTTTTCATAGTAGGCGTTTTTCCCATGTAATTGTCTCAGATTACATCATTCAACACCCATCAAGTAACCATCAACACCATCAGTAAAACTTATACTTTGCATCTACTGAGACTTAAAATAATACAAAACATTTTATCACCTCTAGTGCTTTAATGCTTTATTGGAACCTTAAAGTATGTTAACTGGGTTACAACTCCTTGAACTCTACACGAAGCTACGACACTAACTGCATCAAACAGAGCCTGTCTAACTTTCAGCACTTGCCAACCATGTCTACATCAGGCCTTTCAGGTTTGTTCTAATCAGCAGGTCTCTCTATAGACAAGCAACAGCAGTGACAACATTCAGTCTTTTGTTATGAATCATGCTGATTATCTTACTTCTCATTTTAAACTCCGCCGTTTGACATAAAATCTACTACTGCTACTAAACCTCTAGTCTGACCAAGTATGTGACAAATAAGACATAAAAAAAAAAAAAAAAAACCAGCATAAAGCTAACTATAGTAAACGTAAATCTCTCTTATCTTCTTTTAAAATATGTCCAACTTTTATAAGCAAAATTTAAGGCCTACTTGATAACTGCATGAAATTTATTTTATTCTCAAACTTATTAATAATTATGTTAGTTAATTCATTTTAGTTAATATGCATACTACTTAGGGATCTATTTTATTTTTAGGATGGTATTACAAAAGTGGAATTCAGGCATAGATATATTTTAACTGAATTTATTCAGTTCCCATTTGCTCATAGGTCCTTAATTTTTTTCATTAATGGTCCTTAAAAGTACTTAATTTCTGTGCGCAGAAATGTGTACGAACCCTGAGGAAGTTGAAACAATGTATCAGATGGTAAGTAGCTTACTATAGGAGCTACTTGCAAACAGATCCAAGTGGATTTGTGATTTTAATGTAAATGAAATTCTGCCTAAAAAAGTGTCATTAATTTATTTAGAGACAGTGCATGTTCAGGAACTACTATTAATACTGTTGTGAACTATGGGTTTGTTGATACTCTTTCAATAGCCACTCCATATAAACAAGAAGAAAAAGGGTAGTAAGTATATAGTGTAGGAAATATTTTTTAATAATTAAAGGTCTAGTTTATAAAATTGTCATTTAAGTATATTGTTCCATACTTGATGAGAAATAATTTTTAAAAAGCTCTTGAATTAGGAAAAATCATTCTCACTTTTTTAAAGTGGTCCTTTCTACTTGAATTCATGAAATAAGGAAGTACAATAAATGCTAAATTATTGCATGTAGTTGCAATGATTAAGTGAGATGTATTCAATAAAAAGAGTTATTCTAGAGGCACAGATTTTATTCGTGGCAGCGCATTACTCGCATGCAGGAAAAAGGGGCCTGATGTTCTTCAGAATATTTATTTTATATGTAAGATGATATACACCTGACTGAATATCAAATCATTAAGTTGTAGTAGTAGTAGAATTAGTATGGTATTAATTCTCAGTACCGCTCTCAATTTTAGTATAAAAAGTGCATTATATTTCAAACTTTCATATCAAGCCACTGGACAAACAGTTTAAGGGGATAATGTTACAATAAAGAAGCATGTTTGCGAGTAGTAAAGTGGTTACTACCTTTTAGATTATAAAATATGGGCTGTGTATATAATATGGTATGTAAGAATTTAGAGGATTTTTTTTTTTAATTGCTGCTGTAGTATTTATTGTGGGTTTTAGTTTAAAGTTTGTGTATGGCAGGAAACATTAGTTTTTAGTCAGTCTTCATTAAAAAGAAAACTTGAACTTAGTTACTTGCATTTAATTATAACTAAGCATAAGCAACTACATCTACAGCTGCATTACAAATAAACCCATCTATGAATTTCCCTTATTATTGTCATTCACTGTTTATTTGATAATATGCTGCCCCTTCAGTGAGCTAGTAAAGACTACTGAATGCTTGAAGTTCAGTTCAAGGTGATTGGGGTGTCTGCATGTTTGGTTTTCATGGTTTTTCCCATAAGAATTGTGACTGTGCCAGTTTCCCTTGGGATGTTCTGCATAAAGGCATCCTTCCCCGTGTAAGCAGATAGCCATCGTGAGTTTGTCTACACTCAGTGAGCTTTACCAACTTCTTATTTTCCTCCTTGCATATATATTTCCTTGCAATGTAAATTCTTATATTTAGCATACATGTTACTAATATAGGAACATTAAAATTTTATAACAAGAATCCAAATTTAATTCTTTTGCAGAGTATAGAAACGAATTGGAGATGTGGTCGTCATAACCTGCAAAGAATAAATTGTCGCAGTGAAAATAGTAAAGGTGTATACTGCTTACAGTATGACGATCAGAAAATTGTCAGTGGTCTTCGAGATAACACAATTAAAATTTGGGACCGTAATACATTACAATGTGTTCAAGTAAGTTCTACCTGAAAATTTCATTTCATTTTATTTATTTAATTTTATGTTACAAGTAAGGCAAATTTATAGACCAGGTTGATCTTTTAGGACTGATTACCTAGCTGAAAGTGGATAAAAGGATAAACAAATAAATTGAGTAATCTGGAAAAGATTTATCATTTAAAAATAAAGTGATCTGAATATATATTATTTCAGAAATTTCATTTTACAGCGGAAAAATAGAAAAAGTCAGAGAATGTGAAAATTCACCAAAAACATTTGGGAATTTAAATATTTTAGCCCAAATCTAGAAAAATCGGAGAATTTCATGCGCTGATTCCCCTAAAGTGATTTTTGGACCAATGTTGGAAGTGTATCACTTTTTTGATGAATTATGTACCATGTGAGTGTCATTCTGGTAGGAGGCCAGAATGACACTCGCATGTTACCACAGTGGCAATCAGATTGTCTTCAAAAAGGCAAAGCAAGTTTCCAGTAATCTCTGCAATCCAGAGAGCATGACTGGTATGTCCTTACGAAGAATAAGAAGTCTGTTCACGCTAAACGAAAGAAAATTCTTCCTTTTGATTTAGAGAACGTGTTTTTTTGTTGTCATCAGCAATTAAAAAATCTGGTAAGTGAAACTGTAATATTTTACACATTATTAATTAAATATTTTTTTAATGTATATTTGCTTAACATTCTATCATATTTGCTTGTTAAAACGGTAAGAATCCATGCAGTGCATTTTTAAAGGAAATCTGTTGATGCTTTTTGAATCATATTATTGTGCATTACTAAAAAAATCAAATTTTGAACATCATTGGCAGTGAGGATATGTCATGATTATTGGACTTCAAAATTACACAAAAAAATGTGATACTTTGTTTGGTAAATGCCAATGTATTCATTTATTCTGAACTTGATTCTTTGTTGTTTCAATTTTTAAATAATCCACACTTAAAATTTTATTTTCAAGAAATGGCGGTGGAACGCATGGCTGAATTCAGAAACAAACGCAGCAGTCGAGCAGTAAAGTCATTTAACACTGGTAGTTCAGTCCAAGGTTCAAATCCCACGAGCGGGGTAACTACATGGTTGCTTTTATGGTTTTTCCCATGTATAATGTGTATACAAGCCAGTTATCCTTAGAAAGTCCTCCACAAAGGCATCCCTTCCCTTAGGTAGATAGCCGTTGAACCTTTTCCGTAATCACATAAACCAAGCCAACCAGAAACAAATGCATTAAATATAATAATATTTGCTTGCCCCTCTTTTCTTATACGCTTTCTATAGTAAAAATAAGTAATAAATCCTTCTGTTTTAAATTTCTCATTTTGCTCAGCCCTCTCCTCCCCTTTTCTCTTACAAAATAAAATCTTTTAAACCTATTTTATTTCTTTTAAGTAAATGCCTTATTTGTCACTTTGCAGTAACAATATACTTTGAACTTAGATCACGACAAGCATCGACTATGTAGAGTCTTGACTTGTAGATAAAACTGGTGCTCATAGCCAATTGCGGTTGTGAGTAAGAGATAATGTTCTAAGCATCAACACCCGGAGGGGATTATTAGAAAAATGCAAAGCATACATTCCCAAGCAATAATGCACGTAATTCTGGGATACTGAGTAGTGATGGCATAATCAAAGAATTCAGTCATCCAGGTAAGCATAATCGAATGAAATCAATCTTCAGATAAGCATGGCAGCAAAGAAGTCAGGCTAAGCAAAGCAGATAATCTAAACAACAATATGCTCAGAAAACAATACGCATATGTGATAAGCATAAACTAAAAACACTCTGTCTGTCTTGGCATGGCATTAAGCAGTTGTCTCAATAATTCATGGCATAAAATAGTTCAGGCATAAATAAGCAAGGCAAATCAAAAGATCAGCAAAGCAGGGATCAGGATGTTAAACTTAAGATGGCATGGCATTCTATTAATCTGTAGGCAAAGTCTGTAGGCAGTGAAAACTGCCGCAGTCCTTCACTGTTGAAGTCAAAGCTCTAAATGAGCTGATAGAAGAGTGTCCGTAGCACTTACTGTGCTAATCATGTGAAGTCTAGGGTCCAATCAGGCACTCGTAAAATGAAGGGAAAAAATATTAATGAGTCATCTAGGCTAACCATTTAATATATTTATATTTGCCAAAATACTATCAACTATCATAATTTTAATCTTTTTCACGATTTCTGTAAATAAAGTTATGCAACTTCTTCCTTCTGAATTTATTTATTGCTTATTAATGATACTTTCAAATTTCAGGCAGTTTTCTCTGGCGTACTCATGAAACTAATTCTATTAGTAGGATGGCATACCAACACAAAATGTAGCACACATATTTTTTACTTATGTATGCTGCTAAATAAATACACTGACTACGAATAAGTATTTGGACATAATTCTTTTCTTGTGCTGAGGGCAATTAGAAGTGTTATAATGAATGTAGTATTTTCTTAACTCAATGCTTACATTCCTTTGATTTTGAAAGTCTAAGATTCAAAATATACAGTGGATGGACAAAAATATGGAAACACCTTGTGAAATGCATGTTTGAAAAGAAAGATTGATTTTAATGAAAATATGTAGGTGGCGCTGGCGTTTTTGACAACTGACGCCACCTATACAACTTCGTAAATGTGCTAAACAGTTCAGTTGTTATCGGAGTACTGTTATGAGAGGTTGTCATTGCATTATGTCAGAGTTAACAGACTTCGAACGTGGGCAAATTGTTGGAGCACGTATGGTAGGTGCTTCCGTAAGCAAGGTAGCGGAGGTGTTTAGTGTTTCAAGAGGTACTGTATCGAAGATTTATTCCGCATATTTGAAAAAGCGGAAAAACATCATCTGCTAAATCACAGCGCGGACGAAAGTGTGTCCTGAGTGATCGTGACAGAGATGACCATTAAGGGCAATTGTGACGAAAAAAAATAGAAGACCACAGCTGCAAAAGTTACTGCTGAAATGAATGTTGTGTTAACCGAACCCTGTGTGAGTACCAAACAATTAGAAGGGAGCTTCATAAACAGGGAATTGCTGGCCGTGCTGCAATTGAGAAGCCACTCATCAGTGATGCTAATGCCCGTAACAGGAAAAGGCGGTGTTTAAGTCATAAAGCTTTGGACTATAGAGCAGTGGAAGCGAGTAATATGGTCTGATGAGTCTTCTTTCACATTGTTTCCCACTTCTGGCCGAGTTTACGTCTGGAGAACGCCATCTCAAGCCTATAATACAGACTGCTTGTTGCCAAGAGTGAAACATGGCGGGGGTTCTGTTATGGTTTGGGCAGCCATATCGTGGTTCTCTGCTAGGCCCATGATAACTGTGTCAGGGCACATGACTGCCAAGATTTATGTGAACATTTTGGCCGACCAAGTTCATCCCATGGTACAAACTTTGTTCCCCGATGGTGATGGTGTCTTCCAAGACGACAAAGCCCCTGTTCACACAGCTCACATTGTCCAAGACTGGTTTTCTGAGCATGAGGATGAGTTGTCCCATCTCCCCTGGCCACCACAGTCACCAGACCTGAATATTATCGAACCTTTGTGGTCTACATTGGAACGGAAAGTGCGTTCTCGTTATCCACCGCCAACATCGTTATCTGAACTTGGCACCGTTTTGCAGGGAGAATGGTATAATATTCCGTTGGCAAACATACAAGAACTGTATTTAACCATTCCGAGAAGACTGCAAGCTGTTTTGGATGCCAACGGGTTTCCTACACCATATTAAGCAAAGAAACATGTTTTTTTAAGGTGTTTCCATATTTTTGTCCAACCCCTGTATATTGTTAATGATATGATTATACCTATTGTTAACATTAAAGTTTTATAAGAATAAATTAAATACATTCGTTGGGAATAAGATAAAGTCATTCGGTTTGAAGAATGTTTCTTTGAAGAGTTTTTCTTTGTTTCCATTCAAGAGTGAACAGTTATTAATGTGATATTAAACACACTAAATGTGTGGGAATGCAAGTTAGGAAAGTTACCTTTTAATAAAGCTGTGCATTGGCTATTATTTTAGAATATCTTTTTCATATAGACTGTAGTAAAAAATGCTAAGACTTCTACTGTTTACATATACACTGACTACCAATAAGTATTTGGACACCTGTGATAGAAAAGGAAAACTAACTTTATTCAAAATCAATAGTTGCTAGGACCTCCTCGAGAGGTAATTACAGCGTGGACCCTCTGGGGCATACTTTCCACAAGTCTTTTGTATGACAGCTAGTGGTATTTTCTTCCACTTGGCTTGGAGAAGACATAGAAGTTCCTTCACCGATTTTGCATGGGTAGTGCACCCCTGAATTCGGCGATGCAACTCATCCCAAAGGTTCTCGATAGGGTTCAGGTCTGGACTCTGGCCAGGCCAGTCCATTCCATGAACTCCATTGACACTATACCAAGCCTTGGTTAACGTCGAAACATGACAACTGGCATTGTCGTCCTGAAAGTAATAGGGGTCCAACCCATAAAACTGCCACAACGTAGAAAGCACATTGTATTCCAAAATAGTGCCGTAGGCATCGGAGTCGAGCTTACCATGAATGGGGACCAAGGGTCCCAGACCATAATTCCTTCTTCGCCGAACTTGACTGTTGGCACAATGCATTCAGGCAGGAGACATTCTCCAGGTAGACGCCAGATCCAGACCCTGCCATCCGAACGGTAAAGGGTGAGCTTGATTCGTCACTCCAAAGAACCCGTTTCCACTGATCTACGGTCCAATTTCGATGTGCTTTGCACCACATTAACCAAGCAGCGCGGTTGGACTTTGTGATCAAAGGCTTCTGGGCAGCAGCACCGACCACGAAAACCAAGCAGATGTGCTTCCTTATGGATGGTATTCATTGAAACAATACTCCCGGATGCCTGCTGAAACTTCTCGCGGACGAGGGCTATCAGTTGGGTGTGGATCTTCCAAATTTCTCTAAACAGCACTCGTCGGTCTCTATCCCCCAGTTTCGTTGTTCTGCCGACTCGGAGCACATTTCGACAATCACCCC